AAAAGAAAGTACACTTGCCCTTGCTTCCAAACACCAAGTACAATACTGCTGTCTTTTTATCGCCACTGTCCCCACCCCAAATTTCAAACATAAAAGGCCCAAAGTCTGCCCTACTTTGTTGTCCTCGCCATTTCAAAAATAACCCAAAACAAACCCACAGCTATCCATGAAAGCCCAGACAAACCAGAAACCAAAGAGCTCAGCATCTTCTAGGAGGGGAAGATGAGCCAGCTGCTGGTGTAGGACGCAGAGTGATAGTCTTCAGACAGTGCCCCACACCAGCTCACGAATCAGGAGCTAATCCTGACAACTCCACAGGCTTTTTGGGTACCCACAGGCATTGCAACCCCTTTGCATTTTTCTCCATCTGCAAAACCAAAGGTAACAATAACTTAGTTTGCCTTGCAAGGATTCAGGTAATGCACTAAAAAAGCCTCAGAAGATGTAAAGATGTCCATAAATCTACACATATTTTTTACAATGAGACATCTTTCCCTGCTGAAACTCATGCTCTACCAACCAGTAATACATATAATACTAATGTACAGTGCAATGTATGGGCACAGTGAAGGTGGTGTGCAAGCTTGTGATTTGCATTTTTAAATGAATCACTACAACTTTTGGGACAAAAGTAGGGTAGATTTTTAACAACTTTCAGACACAATCTACAAAACCTGCATGCCAAAAGTAGCATCCACTGACACTAAAATATCCAGATTAGAGGCCTTAATGAGAATGGGTTGAATCGTGCCACCACTTTCATAATTCAATGCCTGAATGAACCTGGAAGGGTGGAGTAATGAAGAGCCATTTCCTCACCCGTCATTAAGTATTGTTTTTCATAACATCCCACTGCACTAATGAAGTTTTCTCCACTTAGTGCATTTAACCTGCTTTCTTCCTCTCTGAAAAACCTGTTCAAGGGCTGTAAAAATCATTTCCTCAGGGAGGTATGTCACTTGAATCCTTCAGAGCAAGAACCAGGAAACAAGGAAGTTGTGTTGTCCTTGTTGTAAAAACTGGGGCAAGCTCTGTAGTTCCAACAAATGCAAAAACTCACTGGAACAAGCTTTTAACCCAATAGCATATGAAATCCGCTTCGCCAACTAATCTTCAAAGTTACTGTTCCCTACAGAAAGCTTCATATAGTGTATTTTAGCCCAAGAAGGACTCCCTACAGCCTCCAAAAGTGTTTCAGAACACACTTTCCAGACACAAGGGTGTTACTAGCAGATGCTATAGGATCTTCCCTGTGTGTTAGCAAAACATGAATCATGCACATGAAGCTCTGGATGGGAAGACTTTTCCAGCTGGGTGCAGACAATCCTTCCCTCTCTCTCCACCTCCTTCAGAGACATCTGTGCACACAGATCACCCAGCAGAGAGCTGCTTCCTCTTAGCTCTTCCCTTGGATTCATGTGTTTTTTTGGTTACCACCTGTTCCCTAGGACATGGAAATCAGCTTCGGTTTCAGCACAAGTCCACAGCACAGTGCATTGACCCTGTCCTTCAAGAAAACTTGCTAATTGAGCTGGTTTGACAGGAAGAAAGTGCCATAATTTTGACCAATAGGAATCATCCAGCTGCCTTCTCAGGCATCCTCCTGATTCTAAATACATGTTTAAGCAGACACAAGGTGAAAGAACATCACCTGCACAAGACAGCTACTCTTAGCAATGCTTCTTCCTGGCGAATACACCAAGCCATTTTAACTATCACAATGCTTAAGAGGATGCACCGAGATGGTCACTGCCTGCTCATACATCTGTGACTGCATGCCACACTATTCTAGGCACATCGCCCTCCTTCAGCTCTTGTGCTCTGTCCCTGAAACACTGCAAATGCAATGGTAAGTCAAGCCACAAAAAGTTGTGGACTCTAAAACATGTTTGCCTGCATTTCCTTCCACCAGTTCAAGCTCATGTTCCCTGTTACCCAGTTGATAATTGATACTTTCCTCTTCTTTCTAAAGAGCATGGGAAAAGCCTTGCCTCATCATGCATTTCTACCAGGTTAGGGTCAGAGCACTGAGCTCTCTGCTATGCAGCAAGATGATAAACAACCTCCAGACTTCAAGCAGCACAGGTAGCCTAAGAGACTAGAGCCATCCAAAGCGTCTACCTCAGACAGGACTCCTCTGCATGAACAGTGGTACCCAGCTGCATTCACAGGACTTGCAAATTACAGCTGGCTTGTCCCATGCTCAGTGCACATGAAGGCAGAAGTAGCATTTAGCTATTTTAACAGACTGAACACATTAAAGCAACTAGGAAGTTCCTGGCAAGTCACATCAGAGGTGTAATTTCTTTCCAATAATGAGTTTCACAGGTATTCTGTGTTCTGATGTAAAGTGAAAAGTAACATCAGGTACCATGGATTAGTTTCATACCAGTGCTTCTAAGAGATGAGTGAAAATACTAAGAACAATGGAGACTAAAACCCTGTAGTGGTAGGAAACCACATGTGGTTCCACAGGCCAGGCTTCTTGGGTTAAAACTGAGCATTTACCAGAGTCTATAATGGTGGGGAGATGGTGAGTGACTTTGGAAAATAAGGGTGTGGAGAGGAAACTTGTCTAGTGGAAGAAAAGAGCACAGAGCTAAGAAGCTGTGGTGCAGTTCTTTCAGTGCTTCGAGACATTTGACTTCTTTACCTCGTCTATTCTTGACAGATCACAACTCTGCCATCACTTAGAAAATCTAACCTCACTGTGTATTAGCCCACCTCCCACCTGATCCATTTAATGTAAGACCTACCCAGTGCTGTGACCTGCTGTCACCCCACCACCCAGCTCTGATATGAACTCTACACCAACCACCTGTGTGGAGTGGAAAGGCCAATTACTACCGTAGCAAATGAAATAAAATTACTCAAGTGATTACATGTGTTCAGATACTTTTAGGTACCCAGGTCAGCACTAGATTACAAGCCTTCTGCTTTTATGTGATCATGTTAACAGTTACTGGCAGAAGCAAGACATCCCAGACACTTCCTGGTTTGGGTATATTCTAACTAGTAATGATTTGAGTTTCCAACAGGAGAAAAGATTTTGCTGAAATTACTGTACAGGGATTGTTTTTAATATTGACGAATAGCAGAAAAGAAAAAGTAGTAGTGGCAAGACAAATTGATGCATCTGACAGTAATCGCTAGAGTCTGTGGTTTCTGAGACAGAAGCTTTCATACACAGCATTTCTACCTTTGACAGTTAATTATATCTACATGTATCACCAAGTCCCTCACGATTACACAGACCAATTTGAGGCATTGTAACTTAAAAATATTACAACAGCTGTGTTAATTTTTCCCCTCTTTCGAGTACCTCCATCTTTGAGCCCAAGCCCTGAATTTTCAAAAGCAGATCTTCTGATACCTGAGATGAAAACAACATAGCCAGCAAGTCTTAACTCCTTCAGTTGAGCAACTATAGCTTTTCAAAGGAGAAGGATCATTATTGTCTCATTGTCTGGATCATATGCAGTCTGTGCAGCAACACCGAGAGATTCTATAGTTCAATTTGTTAGCACAGAGGGTCTGTTTCTAGAGAAAGACGACATTCTTTTGCCATTTTTCTCAAGAAAAAAAGGAAAAACTCCTTTAATGTTAAAATGCCCAGCCTACTTTTAGTTGAATTTAAAAATCTAAAAATCCAAACTTCCTGCTCTATCTGGTTCACCTTCTTTGCCTTTGTGTTTCCAAGCTTGGACTGATTCATAGCTGCCTCTTCTACACACAGAGATTTGCAGATCTTTTTTCTTCAAAGCTTCTAAGACACTCAGCTCACACTGCAGAATAGTCAGGACAGCTTAATGGTGAAGTTACTCTTGGTAATTAAAAAGCTACACAGACCCAACCACTGAAAACAGAAATGACAGTACTCTTTTCTCCACTGCCCACAAAACCATCCTTGTTCCCATGACTCACCACATCAGACCCTTCAAAAGAGCACAGGATATGAACAGTTCATGTTACAGTTGCACATCTTCAAGCTCTATCAGGCCTTCCCCACAAGATTCTCCTTGAAAACACTTCAGTATACTACAACTTCTGCAAGAGTCTGTACTAGCTGAGGTGTATGAAAAGCAGCGGCATTTTCCTTATATCTGCCCCGATCTCTTGGGCCTCACTCTGTGTCCATGAGGAATGGAATTTATAACAGTGCTCATAGTTCAGTAGTGCTTACTGGGTTCAGGCAATCCCCTGCAGATAGAAAGAGGACACCCTAAATGCCACTAAGGAAATCTGTAGACTACAACCCTGGAAACTTCATGGGACAGATATATTTCTGCACAGGACAGAGCAGCTTCAAATGGGCACCAATTTAACAGATGCTTTCTGGTTCTCACTTAAGTTCTCTTGTTCTTTTTGTTTTCTAAAACTTGCCTCCTTAGTAATGCTATCAATGCACCAGTATAATTGTATTAGTAAAGCTGCTGAGACGCAAGGAATCTATGTAGTGTTTCTCACTCAAAGTTACTTTACCCTGGTAACATATCACAATTCCAGAATAATTTACCTTAAGATGAACAGACTTGCTTTCAGCATGGAGCTGGAATTGCTTACCAGAGATAAAAACAGCAAGAAAAAAAGCAAATGAAACACACTAAGTATTGAAAAAGGCATGACTAGACAAATACGACCTTCTAAACTTAATTGTCCTTGCAGACAACATTTTCCATCTGAAATGTCCACAGAACTTAAGACTTCTTTTTATTTTGTCTGTTTAAAGACTGTTTGAAACAATTGCTTTTTCCTCACTTTAATTCATTTTCATATCTCACAAAACAAAGTAAGAGGCAGGCACACTGTATCTCAGGACTTGAGACCAGATGGTACTACAACAGCAAAGAATACACTAGCAATGTTCCTGCAAAGAAAAAAAAAAAAGAAAAAAAGACTGAGTGATGCATTTGATAAATTCATGTCTGTTTTGATAGACAAAATTAACTTTTGTCTTTCATTAAAGTCAAACATAGCACCTGTACACAATAAAAAAATAGAGCGTCCATCTCTATGACTCCTGTTTGGACATTTATTTAAAGGAAGCACAGAAACAGGGAAGAGCAAGCGTTATGCACTTCACACACCAAGGAATTCTGGCGTCCGACTTTGACCTGACAGAGCAACAGAAATACAGGATAAAAATTGCTGTTCAACAACATTGCTTATTCATCGTTAAGAGCTCACACTCTGAAAAGCAACCACAAAAATCCAGAAAAAAATAGGTTTTAAGATAAGTAAAGAAATTAAAAGGTCAGACAGTTCCTGATACAGACAAAAATCAGACCTTGCAGTTCTGAGAAACAACATTCCTCATTCTGCCTCAAGTCGAGGTAAGACAGGAAGAATAAGATTTCCAAATGCAGAGTCTTGAGTTATGAAGTATCCTGAGGAATGTGCATGTGCGTGCTGGAAAGAGAAAAACATTTGTTAAAGCAAAACTCCCTGCAGCACTGATATAATTTAAGACTTTACAGCTTCTGCAGCATTAATTATTTATTTCTCCCAGTCCGCTCCTCAACTCCAACAGTCAAATTCAAAACCAGCATTTCACATCAGCCACATCTGAACAGGGCCCATCAAGGGAATTAACTTGGCCATTCCCCGCTGCTCCTTTTTCAGCAAATCCCATGGAGGTGCGGACAGTGGTAAACAAACTCCTGATCGCTCTCCTTTGCCTAGACCCCATGCTTCCACTTCCATCTATAACCAATAGGTCTTGGTTTGTGACAGCTGCCACATATGACTGCCAGAAGTATGCATCAGTAGCGTCACACAACCTGAGGTGGCATGTACAAGTGACACGTCACCAGACACACTCCTGTACAACACGGGACACCAGCCTTCTGCTCATGTGATGTACGTATGCTTGTTCAGTCGAGAAGAGCAGCTGCTGCTGGACAACCTTTGTAAAATCCTGTGTAGCCCTTCCCAGTTCAAAGACTGGACTCCAGTAAGCTAGACAGCCTGCATGTTCCTTCCTCCCACCACCAGGGAAAAGCCCTAGTGGGTATCAAACGTAGCCTGAGCCAGCAGCACGCCCTTGCAATAAAGGCTACCAGCACAGTGGGCTGCATCAGCAACAGCACAGCCAGCAGGCCACGGGAAGCTACCCATGAGGCTGCATTTGTGATACTGTGTTTGGTTTGAGATAGAAACTGGAGGGAGTCTAACAGAAACCCAAAGAGATGGCTGGGGGCTGGGCTGGAGCTCTCAGTGTCCAAGGGGATGGTGAGAGAAACAAGCTTCTTGTAAGGAGTGAAAGGTGAGGGGAGATTTTATGCTGTTTTCAGGTACCCAGTGACAGGACATAGAGAATACAGAGCCAGACTCAGAGCCAAGAAAGGTTGTGACAAGTCCATCCTGGAGAGCTTCAAAACTTGACGGGACCATGCCCTGAACAATGTGACATAGCACTGCTGTTAGCCATACTTTGAGCAGGGCACTGGACTAGAAACCTCCAGAGGATCCTTCCATCCAGAGCTCACTTCTGCTCCCTTTCATTTAAGAAGCAGCAATCTGGCGCCTTTACTGCATAACAGAAATGCAACAAGGCATAGGATATGTGAACAGCGTTGCTAGTTTGCATCTCAACTTTTTTCCCATTCCTGCGCTCTCTGCCAAATCATGCTGTTTAAAGCGCCAGGAAGGCAGGTGGCCAGGTACTGGCTTTCCCACTCAATTTCCAATTTCAACAGCAAAAATCAACCTCACCTGACATGTGCAAAACAGCAGCAAATAGAAGCCTGTAAATATACAAGTAGTTTTCTAAGTCTTTCACCCGTGTCACTTGTAACTGCAGAGTATTTACTTGGCATCTACTCAGATTCAACCAAGGAAAGCCATGTGGCTAGTTCTCTCTACACTTCATGAGACATTCTGAAGTACAATGAAACTGACTCTTGACTGAGATGTACAAAACAGCTATGATGATAGTGTAGGCTACATTCTTACAGCCATATTGAGGGAATGAGCTGATAGATCTAAGCGTTCATCATAACAGCAGAAGAAACTTCATTTGTGACAAACACAGAAACGCATGAAACCTAACCTCTAAAACATGCTTTTCATTCTCTCTAGGTGCAGGACTGCTCTCTAAGAGGATGCAAATCTAAAACAGAGACAAGCTAAACTCTACCTGACTGTATCAGCTTACCTGCAGTGCAGCCTTCTGCTGTGCTGCAATGTGCTGTTGCTCAGCATGATCACGGAAATCCTTGTTCAGCGGTGATCTTGCAAGTGCAATGCTGCAGAAAAATAACAAGATGGTATGACACATACCACAAAAAACAAGTGTACTTGCCATTCTAGCTATAGATTCCATGACTTTCATAGCTCATGATTTGTTTGACTCACAGCTTGACCATTGTTAACTATTGTTTGGAATTACTATTTGTTAACATAAGAGATAAAAGGAAAATGGAGCAACCGTAGCTGTAACATTTGACCTAGCATAAACAACTGATGTCAAACTAAACCCAGAAGACTCACAGTCCTGAAATCTGTTGTGGATTTCGCTCATGGGTGGAGTCCCACTGAAGGCAATGGAACCACTGGGGTGCAACATTAGACAATGTCAGCATTTTTTGAAACAACAGTATTGTGTTTTCACCATTACTCAGTCACTCAGTGACTGTCCTCAACAACTGCAATAAACAGAAGCACTAACAAGAGCTCTGCAGTCTTCAGCATAAGACCAATTCTTCAGCAGGTGGGCAGCAGATCACTGCTTACGGTAAAGGAGCTTCCTATTGATGTAACTGAAATAATTATCCTCTGATGATAGCTTAGAGTACCTGGAATTTATTTTGCTCATCTATCTCAGTGCAGCATACAGTAGGTTTCAAACTAAAATGTCTAAATAGGTTTTCTTGGCTTTTATATCTTAAGACTTGTCCAACTTGTTAACCAACAGAAGAAATAAAAAGCAGACTTTTTTTTCCCCAGCTCTATACAAAAGTAATGTGATCAGCCATCCTTCAGACAGAAATCAGTGAAGAGTGCCATTAGACCTGTATTGCAAGGCAATTCACAACTACCTCTGAAACTGGCTCTGGAGATTGGTGCCAAGAGCCCAGTTCTCCCAGTCATAGAGACAAAAGTACGATGGACAACAAGAGATCCAAGCAAACTCATCAACTGACCCTTCCCAGCAGCTTCAGTGTCACAGCTGGTTTAGTAAGTCAGTTTTTCAAAAGCAGCCATGCTCATGAAAAGACCTTTAAGCCAAACCTACACCTAAATGCGTAATGAAAGCTAAGTAACAATCCTCCGAACAGATTTTGACAAATGTTAAAATAAGCTTCACTGCTGGAGAAAAGTACAACTCAGTTTATTGAAAACATTTTCAGTTATTTTGAAGGTATTTATTTTGCATTTAATTCTATAACTTTTCAATATGATTTCTGTAGATAGTCTTAAGGCTTCATCATAGGCTGGCACTTTTCAAAAGAGGTATTCTTTTCTTCAATAGAGGATTCCCACATGCCAACACCAGAAATCAATTAACTTGTTCCCCCTTATGCTGGCCATGCCACTATTGTGCTTTAGGGACATCAACCTCTTTTCTGTCAAGTTTGCAGAACTTCTATGGTCTCATTTCTGACAACCCTGTGGTCCAAAATCTCTGGCACAACATCTGTGCCACAGAACCGTCAGCTTCTCAAAAGTCAGCCATCAGCCCACATGCCAAAGCAGCGAATTTGACTGCTGCTTTGCAGGTTCCTCCCCATCCCCATCTTCAAAATTAGTAAATTCTAATTCTGCTCACTAGCATATAAGCGTTACTTTTCCTTAAAAGAAAAAAGAAAGCAAACAAACACCCCCTGAAACTCTGCCAGACTTTCAATGAAGTATGGAAACACTGTTACCAGGAGTCACGGGTTGTATAACAGTATGATGTTCCTGTTTTCTTCTCTAATCACTAATTTTGGTTGAATAATAACTGTACACAGAGTCACTCAGAGATCTAACTCAGGCAATTTCAAATATCCTACATGCTTTCTGACAGTATGAAGGAATTAAAGGTGACCTAGAATCCCGTTGAAAAAAAAGACAGACAGCACTCACACTGTATTCCGAGTATTAGACTCCTGCACAGATGCTGCATGTAACACAGTGTCTAGAATGTGACACTGCACTCACTTCATGCTAACCCAGAAGTTCAACTATCTCAATTTCTCCACGTAAACCAGCGTGTTATTTTCTAGTTACTGATTTATGACAAAAATCTGATCTTTTTGTCTTAAATGGGAGAAATCCCAATAACAGCTCTTAAACTCAGCTTAGATTATTACACCTTATGGTGTAGAATCATCCTCACAACACAGCATCTTTTACAAGATCTACAGTAACATAAACTGGCTTTGTCTTGCACACAGGGAGTTTCTGCTGCAACTGTTCTTCTCCAAACACACAGTACCCAGAACCTAATGGTCTGCTACTTCCATTCTTTAGGGCATTTCAGCTTAATAACTAAAGACTTCTTCAGTGCCTGCTCCCCAGTTCTTCTTTAAAGCACACTTAAATAGAGTGGAGTAAGCATGTAGGCTTCTCCCCTTCTCAAATGCAAATCACGCAAGCCAAAACTCAGGGTCTGCAAACAATTTTAAATACTAGCATCTTCCTGAACTGCAAGGTCTCTCTGACTGGTTATTGAGGATGGTCAGAAAACACTTCTGGTAAGTGTTTATGTAAGTTTACAGGTCACTTGCTATTTTTCCTTTGATGTAATCAGTGATGTCCAAATAGGTCTAAGAACACAAAATACCTGGCTCCAGGGTGATTTGTGGAAGACTGGTTTTGCATAAGTAACTTTCTCTTCTCCTTGTCTAGTTCTGCCAGGATTGCAACCCTATTTTTATTCTGGAAACCTGGTGGGAATGACAGAAAAATATTAGAGAGATTTACTTGGCTTCTATGGCCCAACTCTAACCTTGTGGAATTAAAAAGTCTCTGTACAGTACGACATTATGATGAATACACTAATCTTCAAAGCTTTGCACCCATCTGAAAGGCTATTAATAAATACATTTATTTTTTCCTTTTCTCATTTTACAACATGAAATAGCTTCCTTAAGCTATCATACATATTAATACATTTTAAAACACAGGTTTCTATCTCAAGTTAGACTCTACCCCTTCCCAAGCCAGCACTGGCACTATAAACAAGGTACATTATCAAATACTTGCCTTTCGAAAAAGAAGGAAACTTACCAGGTTCTAGATTTAAAATGCAGTCACTGAACGTAAAACTTAATGATAATAATGGATTAATACACTCACTGGGCCTAATTTCTATGCCAGTAAACTCAAACTATAATACAAGTTTTATATATATAACAGGTAAAAATGAGATTGCCACTAAGCTTGCACATGTGCTTATACAAAAAATTACAACCTTTTATTCAATCTGTGCAGAAAGGTTTCAGTTTTAATATACTGATGTCCTTACATACAACACAGTACCCTTATTCTGAGTATGACCACAATGGAGTATGACCACAATGCCAGAATACAAAAGCAAAATTAAACTATCTGGACACAATATGAGAACATGGCCTTTATTTGCTTTGTACATAACTTTCCCAAAAGGACCTTGTATACTAGAGAAGGGGTCAGGTAGTAGAGTGACTGAGGGAATTTAGAAAATGCATAAAATAGCTGCCATTTGTGTATTTTCAAAGTGGCCTTCTAAATGTGGCAAAACTGCTGTACTTGCACAGGACTTTTAAGATATGGTAAAGGATCTCACTGTGGCCAGCAAATAAACTAGATACACAAGTCCCTGCTGCTGCCCAGTATGCCCAAACAGCACCATTAAGGACAACAGTTACAGAGCTGACTCTTGCAGGCCTCTATGCCACTAATGACACTGCTTATGTCAATACTATACAGTTTTTTTAATCTCTAATTTGCTGCTATTCTATAAGTATCAAGCCACTACACAGTCATTTAAAAAAAAAAAAAAAGATATAAAAGTCAAGTTACCGCCTTTATTCCCTCTATACAAAAAGTCAAAGTCATTCCCATCAGAAACTGGTGCATGTTGTGCCCCCATCCCTGTCCTGAGTGCTGTTTTAGTAACACCTCTGAAAAATGGTAGCCCACAAACTGTTAGAAGGGCCAGACACAGTAACTCTTAAGGGGATTATTAGCATGTCAAGGCAAAAGTATTTCAAATTTATTTTCAGTAGCTGCACTCAAAGTTCATTCCCATTGAGAGATCTTCTGTTGCTGCTCAGTCACATAATCCAATATTCCTTTCATCACCATGGCTCAACAAAGGAGACAATTACCAGGTAGAAAATTTCAACTCTAAATAATAATTTGCATCCATATTGCCTTGCTATCAAACCTTTACCTTTTTCTTCTACTATGCCTAACGTATGCACTCCTCAGCCTCAGTGTCTCAGAGTTCTTGAAAGCAGCAGAACAATTTGATTACATTTTACTGTGATTTTAGGCAAGATCACCCATAATCATCTTTACATTTGTTAACTTTTTTTTTAAATTAAATTTAATTAATTGCTATTTTCTCATTGTTACTCTCTCCTTCCCACATGGCATTAGTTCCACTTAAGCTCTGTTTTGCAAGTATGTTGACTCAGGTCTTCGATGTTTCTCTGCTCTTTAGGTATTGTACACTACCTTTTTTTGAACGCTCTGCACTTGCAATGAGTGTGAAACATTAAAACACAGCTGAACATGTGCTCTAAGGGATACGAAGGCTGAGAGATCTTTCTAACAAGCTAAGATTCAACATTTCTGAGTTGCAGCTAGCCCAGACTTTACTTCCTTGTAAATTCTGGAGAGAATGCTATAATAGGACGTCTAAAGCACCTCTAACAGAGTCTGAGCTAAAGCTATCAGGTCTGTATGCTCATTCTACACAGTTTTCAGCCAAAAAAAGCTTGATACTTGACATATTACTCAGCAGCCTTCTGCTAGTGCTTATTTATCCCTAACTGCATAAATCTAAATGCATGCTTGGAATACAGATGATATGGCGATTGAGGCAAGAAAAAGGAGACCCTTTTTAATAGAAGTTGCTGTCAGCTAAAAAATAAAGACTAAATATGCTTACATTTATCATGAAGCAGATGGTATGATTCAGAAAGGCTTGAGATATGTGTTAAGAATAAAATTTTAAATGTTGTTTTTAAACTGTGATCAGAAACTGTGCAAGATTATCACTGTCTTCTATTTTAGTACAAGTCTTGCTATAGTAGCTTATGGCAGAAACTCTAGAGGGATTCAGAAGAAATCCACGTATTTTTTCTTCCTTTTCGTACCCCTTTAGTGAGAGAGGTTTTTAAAAAAATAAATTAAAAGTAGTATTTTGCTCTAGAATTCAGACTGTGCCCATCAGAAACCTGCTGTGCTGCAAAAGTAATTGTTCAAGAGAATTTGTTAATGGTAAGTAGAAAAATGCCTAGTTGAGAAAACAGACATCCGACACACATGTTAGTGCTCCTCAGCTGAGCAATGTGAAATTCCTACAGAAAGGAGGAGGCGGGACATCAGAAATCCATTTTAGAGAGAAAATCTGGCATCCTTACAAAATAATTAATCATATCTGGAAATACACAAGTGAGACTTCCATTTGGATTCTTCCCTGCCCAGAACCCAAAGTGCTTATGCAAAGACCATCTTGAAACAGCTACAGAAGTTTCCTAGTTTAATTATAAGGAAAAAAATTTTCTATCTGTAGATTTAGTATGTCTGTTCTGCTTTCTAGTACTAAAAATGCAGACATGCAACAACCAAAAAAAGACATCCTTAGTCTAGACTGGATTCTCATCAGTGAAAGGAAGTATAGATTTTGAAACACTGTAACTTCTTAATAAAGCTTTAAGTTTATACTTCCCTTAACTGGGCTGAGTTGCACTTGTATTTTGAGTTTGAACAGTTCATGAATATTGCACTTAATTAATATTCTTCTCTGCTTTGCAGACACAAGAGTCATAACACAAAATGACCCATTAAATCAATAGATTAACGGCAGTGTCAGATGTCAAACTGAGCACCTGGATCCTCAGATTAACTCTCCAAGGTAGCAGACTCAGGACATACAAAATTTAAACCTCTTCTTTCCGACACCTCTGTTTCTGACATCAAGCATTGTATTATGTGCTCTGTGCACGACCTAAAAGTTTACTTGCACTGATGTTTTGCATGTGAAAAGCAGAAAATTAGAGGAAGTTGAAGCCTTGCTGAGTGATACTAGTAGCTGTAAGAGCTCACAGCAAGCTTCACTCTTTAACCTAATCCTACCACACTACCTCACCGATATCTATGTCACTTAGTTCTACTAGCTAACTCTGCATGGCAAGGAACAGTATTACCTTTATCTACTTTAATGTTCATTCTTTTAATCTCATATTTTCCCTGATCTGTTGGTTGCTTCAAATTCACGGTATGTGTAAGTTTTTTCTAATACGCATTATTTATCATTTGTCTATAGATGTGTAACAGCACGAAAAAGCCCTCCGCCTTTGTGTTCAAGACACTTCCACGGGGAAAAATGGATGTCCACTCCATTCAAAGCTGGATGTCCACTCTCAGCTCCGTACATTAAAAAGCACTGTCACTGCACACTGTTCTGCCTGCTCAATTCAGAAAGCATTTCACAGCAATTTCTTTACTGAAGTGCATGCTTTCATAAATGGCAGCAACCTCTTCAAAAGCAGAATCTAAAGACCTTATTAAACACATAACCCTTGGGAAAAAGGATGGAGTAATTGTATTTTGATTTCCTCTTCTGCTTATGACTACTGGCATCACAACACATCATCCAATAGTCTGCACATCAACCCTTTTCAGTAACGATTTACATTCGGATACACTTTCATATATGTTGACAATAAAACAAAATGCCTATTAGTAATTCAGTAAATTAACTGGAATTACTAAAAGATATATTAATATTTTGTCTGTCCCTCCAGAAAACAGCTACATGCGTAGCTGAATGTAAGTCATTGACTGATTTATGGCCACAAAGTTCTCCAGGGAAGAAATAGGCTATAGCCTTCAAGTACTATGCTTGCACATAGATCAGATGCAGAGCAGCAAAGTTTATAGATTATGACATAATTCAATGCAGAACAGCACAATCTTCCTTTTTAACAGAGACTTGGAAAACAGAACACCAAATCCAGCTGCTCAGACTGTGTTACGTGAATGTGCTCACATACCTTTAGGCCAAAAGGATAAACAATGCCAGGATAAAAAGGGACCCTGTAGAATTGCTATAGCCTGAAGCTTAGAATTCTGTATTTTAAGAGCTTGGTTCTTCAAACGTACCAGAACTCTTCTTTTCTGAAAAGTTCACCCCTATCTGAAGCAGGACCTGTGCTTCTTCCACCTCTGGGGACCTAAAGGAGAGTTGCTTCCTGAGCAGTCTCATTTCTCTCACCGAGGGTTTCCTCTAGGAGAACTTGCACATGGAGTCTTTAATTTAGTAATACACAAGGCACACTCTAGCCTTGCTGTGCACAAGCAAAAGCATTACAAGAGCAGCCTTATTAACACATGTTGTGTAAGTACTGTGAAGTATTGCTGCAGAAGCAGCATATTACCAAGCACCTGAAAGTAATTTCTGTAACTCAAAAGCTGATTTCCTCCACACGCACAAAATACACCCCACTCTGGTCTATGAGCTCATCTTGGGGACAATACATAGCATGCTAAAGGCTTTCCATTTCTTTTAAACGCTGCAATCGGTCTCGTGCAATCAGTTCCATATGGTACCAATGGCCTAAAGTAAGTCTTTCATTCAATTCTATTTGGTTTTGCTGCACTCACAGAATGGTAGGAGTTGGAAGGGACCTCTAGAGATCATCTGGTCCAACTGCCCCGCCAAAGCAGGCCATACGGGAATGCCTCCGAAGGGGTTTTCAGTATCTCCAGAGAAGGAGACTCTACAACCTCCCTGGGCAGCCTGTTCCAGTGCTCTGCCACCCTCAGAGTAAAGAACCTCATGTTCAAGAGGAACTTCCTGTGCTCCAGAAATATGCAGCTCATATGCAGCTCCTCACCTTTGAAATCCTAATCAAAAGAGTGCCTTCCGCAAAGGCCTATAAATTAAAGGAAGTCCACTCCACAAAATCTTAACCTTTGTAGTCAGAGTCTGCAATTAACAGAAAACTCAATTAACTCCTAGGAAAATACCCAGTACTGATTAAAGGGAAAGAAACAACTTGGTACCAAAAATTACAAGCACAGTCTACCTGTGTAGAAGGCTAATTCACCCTTACAGTTCTGTCTGAGTAACCCTTCCACTGAGTGCTTCAGTAAATCCATATTCCTTTTGTCCAAGAGGAGGGAAATGAGTGAATGAATTGGTTGAATGGCACCAATCCATGTGCCGCGCAGCAAGCTGAAAACGCAGTATTTGTCTCAATCATTTTCACTACTAGACTGCACCTGGCCAAGGGAAAAATAAAGCAGCCTTGAACTGTTGTTCATATTTACCTCTTCCTTTCTAATTTTCCTAGGTGTACTATTTATAGGCTCATTTGAGTGATTAAACTTTATAGTGTTTCTTGCCTGCTTAGTGCAAATAATTTTCATATGATAATTAAACAGTTCCTTTAGTGAGTCTCTAAAGGCTATCTCAAAGTATAAAAGCAGATTCCAAGGCTCTATTAAATTATAAGCCTCTGGGATTTGGAGGGAAGCAAAGGCGTTCTGGCATTAAAATCCCATCCTACTTCTCAGTAAATTCACATATTTAAGAAAAAACAGCTTTTAACTGTCTATGACAACATTCTATTCCTTGCAATGATGCTGACTTGGTCGTCACAGAATAACGCAAGATTTACCATTAGTACCAAAAACTTCTCAAGAGTTAAAATTTGCAAACAATTATCTGCAATCTGCAGTACTCGCCTCTCAACACTTCACAAAAGCTCAATAAGCATTCCAGAAATTACCTTCTTTTAGTCAAGCAGCAAGTAAAATCTGTCTTTTGGACCGACACATTTTTCTGTATTTCTTTTGAAAGCAGAGGGACATTGCTGGGGGGCACACACAAGCGATCTGGTACCCCTTCAAAGTATCAGCACTTCAAAATTTACACCCAGCTTTGTGGGACTGCTTTCCGTATAAGGACACTCACACATAATGTGCATGAAGAAGTCTCTGGTGGCTGGGAAACTAATTCTGAATTCATTTCTCAAAACCAGTATATGAAGCGCCATACCTGAGAATCTTCTTTGTCCTCAGCTCTTCAGTAGAAGAGACAAGCCTCACAGTTTCGCTAAGATTTCCAGAAAGCACCTCTAGAGGGCGATTTAAGACCCTCTTTCAACTTACTGTGTGCTTCCCCTTCCAGCCAGACCTTCAGCTCCCTCTAAGGCACGTGCCACGACTAGAGAAATTGACTATTTCCACACCTTGAACGATTCTACGGATGCAATTCAGATGTGTCATCATGCAAAGAAACATTTCATCGGAGTTAGCATCATGATTTTTATCTGGCTTTTCCTCCTAGGCCTGGCCACTTGCTATCTTTGACAGCTGTTACTGGGTCTTGCTGCTCCCATCACGACGTGGAATGCATCAGACTTCTGGCTGTTCCCCGATGCTGGGCACAAGAGCTGCACATGATGTTCAATGCTAAGTGTTGTAAGTGTCCGAAATACGCTTCAGGAAATAAGTGCAGCACCGAAATAGCCACAGCTCCACAGGGTACTTCATTACCTGAGCACAGTACTTCAGAGCTCCCCAGCCATCAGTGGTCTTTTCAATCACTCAAAGCTAGAAGGCGTGCTCACATTCTGCTACTTTCAGCCCCATCTTCCTGCCTCTCTTCCCCTTTTTGCTCTTGCTACAAAATAAACTTACGGTTCTGCTGACTTCACTGACATTTTACACACAGTCTTTCCCCTTGAACACTTAGATTAAAACCTACCTTGCCCTGAAGGATTTGCTGCCATGCTTCAATTTTCACCCCGTTTTATTCAGCTGCAGCTCAAATCTACAAGTATCTGCAAAACAGGCACAATATAATATAAACATATTCCTTGGATAAAAAAAATAATCTTGGATTTCATTTTGTTACAGACTTCATAAATGTGGCAACCATTACAAAGCATAAGCCAAATACAGCACGTGCATCACTTAAAATACACAATTACCACTTATATTGTTCTGCGTGAAATTTTTAGCTCGAAATATCAAGAGTTGTGATCAATTCTTTTTCAGATTCTAGTAACCTTAAGAATAACGTTTAAAGTCATTCTGGAGTCATACACACATTTCCTAACAGAACTTCTTCCTGACAAAGTATGTCAGACTACACTTAAGAATCAGATTAAAGCATTATACATCTTAAATGCTAAAGCCCTGGAAAACTTCAGTTTAGGGTCTAACACAAGAAAACTGATTATCTGAGGAAAGACAATTTAAATCCCAGCTACAAGACCTGCCAAAGGCTACCATCCTCACAGCTGTATCAAAACGAAAAGGGATGCCAGCTCCTCAGACATATGTCACCTCGGGCCACCATCAACTTGTTTCCATCAAGGTGTCAGGCTGTGAAGCGCAGCGGTGAAAGGTTCCAGCTCAGCCGGGTGGAGGAGAGGGACGGGAGCACTGATTCTTGTGGGAAACACGAATGAGAAGTCTCGCTCAGATCTCAGCGGGAGACCAGGAAACAGTTACACCCCGAAACTGCACGTCCCTCAGCAGCAACGCTAGTGCCACGGAAAAAATAGTTCCAACACCAGCAGTGGCACTCCTTAGACCGTGTTTCCCCAAGAAGTACGGTCTAACCCGGGCCGGGGAGAAGCGCCCGGGGAAGC